GCACTGGTGTGTCAATCTAGATTTTTGTCTGCAAGTTCTTAGGAGGAGGGGTAATTACTGAATCTCAACTTCACTCAGAGCCAAGCAAGTGTGCTACCACCAGAGTCACAGCAAACATGGCAAAAGATTAGAGAGCCTGCCGTAGTCAGTCAGGGGTGCAAGTGTCGACTATAATCCATCTTCCATGAACTAAGACCAAAAATGAAGCATCTCAAAGGTGTTTAGAACTTGGACTTGACATAAATGGGTAAAAGCTAAATATTGCACAACCAAAGGGATACAACAAAATGTCAATTACCCAAACTTGGCAGTCAGCAGCAAGTGTTTTAACAGCTTAAATCCGCAAGCAAAAGTATGGAAACTATGTTTATCAGACCGTGCATTTACTCCCTAAAGTAATATCCACAATGGAGAACTTGGGGTATAGAATTTAACCTGGATCTTTTCGTGGTTTTGTTAAAAATGCTGAATTAATTTCTAATAAAACAAATCACGGAAATATTTTTGATTCTGTAAATAATTATACTGTCCTTTGTACTAAATTGTGATGAAAGCAAAGATGACTTTACTCAGCCTTGGTGGTCCACTGTAGACAGGTGGTCCCTTAGTGCAGCAACATACTATAACGGTGAAGCATATATAAAGCAAATAGCTAATATCCGGCAATTAGAGTAATCAAAGGACTCAGACCATCAATATTTGGATAAGCAGCATTTCACTGAAAAGAAACCGCTTTATCCAAGCATTCTGTTTGATCTTGCTGTAAGATTTAAAACCTTCTGCCTTATGAAGATTTGTGCTTTCGTACTGTGCAAACAATCATTGAAAAAGGGCTTTTTATTCTGTTTTAGGCTCTCAATACATGTGTAATTTTACCAGTTTAATTCACGCATAGGACCTTTTAATTCTAGCTGCTCACATTTCTCGAATCAAACACATTTACGGGATTCGTGCTTAATCGAATTACAGTAACTTCTCTGTTGAATGAAACAAGTCATAATTCAACCTCACATTTTCTAATCATCTTTGTGACAACAGTACAACCTAACAGAATATCCACTTGTCCCTCATCTTCATGCAACAACAGTGAGCATTCTTTGGTTCAACATGGTTAAGGGTATTAAGAACATAATCAAAACCTCACTGAGGCATACGGAGTCAGGAAAATATATAAATTACACATTCTTCCCAGCTATCAATTGTAGCCATGAGAGAAGAAGGACCACCAGCAACTGGGCCTTGTTCATTCTGCTCGACTTTTCCCGCTTGCAAGACATATCATCGTCTTGCCTTTGTCTATGAGTGTATCTCATCACAAATTGCTCAAAGGCAATTAACCATAACCATGACCAATTGCTGGGAAGGCAGGACTTCAGTACAGTTTTTGACGAATGGCAGACTGGATACAAAAGGTGAAGTCACATGGTATCGGGGTGAGCTGGCAAGATGGATACTACAGAACTGGCTTTGTTATAGGAGACAGAGAGTAGTGGTGGAAGGATGTTTTTCAGAATACAGGGTTGTGACTAGTGTTTTTCCACAGGGATCAGTGCTGGGATCGCTGTTGTTCATACTCTGCATAAATGATTTGGAGGAAAACGTAGGTGGTCTAATTAGTAAATTTGCAGACGATACAAAGATTGGTAGAGTTGTGGATAGTGAGCAGGATTGTCAGTGAATACAGCACGATATGGATCAGTTGGAGGCATGGGCAGAGAAATGGCAGCTGGAGTTTAACCTGGACATTTGTGAGGTGATGCATTTTGAAAGGTCAAATTAAACAGTGAATGGCAGAACCCTTACGAGTATTGATATGCAGAGGGATCTGGGTCTGCAGGTCCACAGGTCACTAAAGGTGGCAGCACAGGTAGATAAAGTAATTAAAAAAAGGCTTATGGCATGCTTGCCTTCATTGGAAGGGGCATTGAGTACAAGGATAGACAAGTTATGCTGCAGCTTTATCAGACTTTAGTTACGCCACACTTGGAATATTGCGTACAAAAGGATGTGGATGCTTTGGAAAGGGTACAGAAAAAGTTTACCAGTGTTGCCTGGTATGGGGGATTTTAGCTATGAAGAAAGGTTGGATAAACTGGGTTTGTTTTCACTAGAATGCAGGTGGTCGACGGGCGACCTGATAGAAGTTTAGAAGATTGTGAATGGCATGGTTAGAGTGGAAAGTATGAGGCGTTTTCCCAGGGCAGAGGGTCAAATACTAGGGGACAGAGGTTCAAGGCACAATGGGGGAAGTCTGATAGAGAAATGTGTGAGGCAGGTTTTTCACAGAAAGGGTGGTGAGTGCCTGGAACGCGTTGCCAGAGGTGGTGATGGAAGTAGATAAAATAGCAGCATTCAAGAAGCACTTGGACAAATACATGAATAAGAAGTGAAGATAGTTTTACTATGGAAGGGCAAAATGTGTTGGCGCAGGCTTGGAGGGCTGAAGGGCCTGTTCCTGTGCTGTATTGCCCTTTGCTCTTTTCACCTGCTCACCCTTTGTGGGGAAAGGATTAACATTTCAGTTCTGATGCAAGGGCTGCCCAGGCCTCATTCTTAGCAGTTTATTCTGTCAGTATATCGCCAACCATGTTATCCATAAATTGATGGCACCGACAAAGGAAGATTTGCCAATTTATTTCCAAGTAATCAAAACTTCAGTGCAAGATCCAAATCTAAGGAATTCTGCTCCCTCAGCAGCAGCCTAAAAACAGCAACAAGGTAACATGCATCAGCACCAACCACTGCAGATTCCATCTCTGCTTATACAGTAGTAACTTCAGCCAGTGCAGGAGCTATGGAAGTTCCTCTTTCTCAACCTTGCCCAAGGAATGGTGACCACCAGGCTGAGAGAGGCAGCAGCCCCAAGGACCTCTGGGACTAAGGAGACTTTGCCTTTACACCAAGTTCGGAGTTCCAACCACATCACATGGGAGGGTCACTCATGGCAAATGCTCAGACAAGTGAAAAACAGCAAATCAAAATACCTGCCATTCCATGAGCTCCATGGTTGAATACATTTTGGGGAAGTGCTGGAGCACATTGTCCATTTTAACCACAGCCAGTGCCTACGGCATTTAGAAGACAATGAACAAATTAACTTACTCTTACGCTGCATCTTATCCCACTCTCCATCTTATCCCATCCCAAATACTAATTAATAGATTTGCTTTAATATATGGCCATTCATTTCAGTATGCTTGTTAGCTTGAGGATATAATTCAAATTACTAGCCAATTCAACATAATGTGAGGCTAATAGGGACTGGGTCAGCAGGGGTAGGCCACATGTGAGAAAGTGTGTGACATTCACTTTGCACACAGCCATGTCACATAAATAGGAAAGGAATTGCAAATAATCCATTCAAAATGAGACAAATCATACTCAAACTGTAAGGGAATCCAGGGTTACAGGGAAAAGGCAGGAGAGTTGAGGATTGTCAAATCAGTCATGATCTCACTGAATAGTAGAGCTGACCCAATGGGCTGAATGGCCGACTTCTGTTCCTATGCCTTATGATCTTGTCTACACTTAAAAGTATTGGTTTAGCAAAGATTGTAGATCATGACAGAATGAGATTTTCTATTCTTCAAAAAGCTGGGTGCTTCTTGCATTTATTTGAGCAGGTAGACCCTGGTTTAACATTATATCTAAAAGACAGCATCTCTGACAATACAGCACCCTGTCAACCAAGCTTACCATTTTCACTATCGTTGATATAGAAAATGCCACATGGAAATTCATTTTAGGTACATTGCTTATATGTTTTTTTTTTAATACAAGCAACGACAGAGGAAAAACAAATCCTCCAGCACAGAAATCTAGCTTCAATTAAAATGCACACGAATATTATTTTTCAGCACGATTTCAATATTCAGTTAGCAAGCACAGAATCTCATCCATTTTGTAAAGATTGGGTTTAATGAGTGCATAGATGAGCCTTTGAGACATGTTGAGATGCAACTGTGAGCTTAGTGGTTATGCAATAGTGCTCTGCTTGAAAATTGGAATTTGTCTGTAGCCTTAGTATGATGTACAGATCTTCAATAAGCATTGATTCTGAGTAATGGAGAAGTCTGCCTGATTTTATAAGAAGAACCAAAAAAACATACATCAGCTCCTGTTAAAAGTTCTTATAGATGCCACCAATGTGTTCAGGAGCCAAATGACCTGCATCTGAGGGACCATAGCCAGCTTCCTGAAGGCATCCAACAGTAATAACTGGCACAAGTGACCAAATTATTCATGACACACTCTGTGGTTATCGCAATATCTTTCAAGGGCTGACTGTATCAAAGTCAGCTCCGCCATCACTTCTTCAGCTCCACCAAACAGCCTGCCTGCCTGCTTCAGGTGATCTGTGCATCATTAAAGAATCTACTCAAGTCCACAGTGGAGCTTCAACCCATGAGAATGGCCAAGCTGACAACCTGAAGGAAAATCTTATGCAAGGTGCTGAAGGGGCTGTGATTTCGAAGAGTGCAGACATTTGTATTTTGAAATGTTGCAGTCAGAACCTGAAATAAACTGACTTGGACTTAGGAATGACCAATGAGGGAACGGGTGGACTATAGAAAGGAAGAAATGGGGTAGAAAAGGTCTCAAAGATGCATTCTTGTACATTGACATGTTATGACCATCGTAACACAAGGTGCTTCTTTTACCATGTTTGGATAATGACCTCTGCTTATAATATTTGCATCTGCATCCTTCCATATTGAGATGTCAGAAAATTTTACAAAGGTAACAAACTTGGGCAAAACAACAACGTTGTCTCAACAGTTTTAAAGTTCTGTCTGCAGTACAAAGAGTGAAAATTAGGCCCACAAAAAGAACAGATGTTACAAATAAAAAAAAATTCATACTAATATACAGACCCAACATGTCCAGCAAAGAAAGCTTTTCACAAGAGCGCCCCCATCCCCAGTGAGGAGTGAAGCACAAGGAGCAGAAGAGTGGCCCAAGCTGCAGTCATGCAATTCAATGCAGCCCCCTATACTTACGCATTGCATTCTGAGAGATTTGCCTCAAATACATCATCAGACTGGTTTGGTTCATCGGCAGGGCGGATCATGTAGTGTAGCTGAGCCTCATCTTTGCTGAACAGAGTAAATTTGACATCAAAAACAGAAATGTATGTGGCTAAATTAAAACTGGACTATTGCGTTCATGAGGACTTCGGATGGTCTTGGCTCAAACCCGCACTGTGCAGAGAGCCGACAGTTGGGATTCCACATTTTAGTGGATAAGGATATTTTGCCGCAGTTAAAGATTTTAGGTTCAAGTTCTAATTAGCACCAACAGACAAGAACCTTGACTTGGGACAGGTCAACTTCAAATTCAACCAATCATCGAGGAATCTAGATGAGCACTTACTTTTGTTTATGACAGCCATGGCATACAGTTCAAATCTTGAATACAGAAATTTAAGTGACTACACACTATGAAATACAATGGGCCTGATTTGCGCAAACTTTGTGCACAAAACAAGTTGCAACTGGTCCAAGCCCAATTCTGACCTTACTGTGGGCATGAAATTGGACACATGGTTATGACAGGAATCATTAAATTTATCTGAAGTTAACAGCTGCTTCTTAATGGTCATCTATGTCTCAAAACTATTAAGAGATCACAGTGCAAAGAGCACATTCCTAAAGAAGTATTTTTGCTATAATTTATTAGTTTACTCTGATCTTCAGTGTTTTGATTCAAGTTGACTCATTGACACTGTCATAGAAACTGGAATTCTTAAGTAAATCGGAATAAAAATAAATTCTCAATGTATACCCCCAGTCATTAAGAACCACAGTGCTGACACAATTCAACTTATTACTTCTATAGTTTAAACAATCTCTGGGTCCAATATCTTCTCTTGAATGAAACATTCATTCCCATTTGCCAAAATAACCTGCATTCTCATTCAGTTGGCATTTATGCCTTACAACTGCATAATTACTTGTACACCTCACCAGCTTGTGGATCACTATAATTGAGGACCTTCCAATCACTGGGCTAAAAGTTTCAACTTTACGTGCACGTGAAATATGCGTATTCGTCTCTTGCAGCTTTCTGTTGCACATGTCAATGAGTGTGCATAATTCCATCATCATGTCAGAACTGGCTGCAATTTGGACATTATCAGATTACGCTTCTGTGCCTCTGTTACATTATCAATATTTATAGATGATAGGTTCTTGAGCCTTTTTTGCTCTTTATAGCTGAACCTTGGTTGACCCACAATTTGTCTGCAGTGTGATAACTCATCCAAGAAATTACAACAGGATTAAAAAGTAATTTTAAACGCAACAGTAACTTGTGATATAGGATAAAACCACCTCATAAAAGGACCTTCAGTTAATACGGTTTCTGCACGGTGTTCAATTTTTGGCATCACTTACTTTTCGCTGAGATCATCATGCCTCTGGCCATTGGACATGAGGAAGTGTGGGCTTAAATGGCCAGGCAGGGCACTGCATGGACTTGCAGGGGCAGACAAGGAGCTCTTGATATTCTGCACTGAATGTCTTCGACTTCTCCTTCGTTCTAAACCACGTCGCTCATTCACACCGAGGCTTGATCTTCGCCGGTCCTTGCGTCCACTTAAAGTAATGCTGTCATCGTCACCATCTTCATGCTTCAAGCTCATCTTTAAGAGCAGAAAACACAATTTGTACGACTTTGTAAATGTGAAAATTCATTCTCAATTTCATTTGCTCCCCCTTGTGTAAACATTTCATTTTTCTCCCCCCCGTCCCCCCCAAATCACTGGCAAGATATGCATTTATCACCAACCCTAGTTACCTAGAGATGGGTTTCTAAACTACACCAGTTCACATGTTGAAGCTGCCATCATGAAGCTGTGTTGGTTTGATATAATTGCGTGATTAACTGAAGTATTAACAACAGTGGGATTGGGGAAGTTAAGATATTGCTAGGTTAACTCTTTCAATATGGCAGCCATGAGATAAAACTGTCAGTTCCAACTTCCAGATCTGATTACTTGGCTATTGACCACAACACCAAAATAAGCAGGAGCAGGAGTAGGCCATTCAGTGAGATCATGGCTAGTCTAATAAATCCACTTTCCTACCTTTTTCCCATTAACCTTGATTCCCATCCCGATTAAAATTTTGTCTATCTCAGCATTGAATAGGCTTTAATAATAAACCCTCTACAGCCCTTTGCAGCAAAAATTCCACAGATTCACCAGCTAGAGAGAAGAAATTCCAACCGAGTCAACCTTGACAATGTGATAAAAGTTAATAATATTATTTGGGAATGTCTCAAAATAAGGGGGAGCAGATTTAGGACTGAGTTGAGGAGGAACTTCTTCAACCAAAGGGTTGTGAATCTCTGGAATGCCTTGCCCAGTGAAGCAGTTGAGGCTACCTTGTTGAATGTTTTTAAAGCAAAGATAGATTGATTTTTGAACAGTAAAGGAATCAAGAATTACAGTGAGCAGGCAGGTAAATGGAGCAGAGTCCATGAAAAGATCACCCACGAACTTATAGAATGGTGGAGTAGCTCAATAGGCCAAATGGCCTACTCCTGCTCCTATTTCTTCTATTCTTATGTACAAAGTGCATCAGAGTAGCAGAACAGAGTACAAATACACTGTTACAGCCACAGAGAAGGTGGAGCAGAAGGGGGGAGGGGGGAAGAGGAGGGGGTTTGAGGGAGTGTCGGGGGAGGGACAGACAGAGAGATCAGAATTAATATATTTGAGAGGTCCGTTCAAATGTCCGATAACAGTGGGGAAAGCTGTTCTTGAATCTATTTGTATGTGTAATCAAACTTTTATAAGAATTCCAAAACCACTGCATCAGTGCTGCAGCTGGGCTATAAACATATCCACAGGCCATGTCTAGAACCTGGGCTATGTAACAAACCCAAATTCTAATCCAGTGACCTGATACCCAAATTACATTTCAAAGATCACATCAGAAAGTGTACAGTTGCAATCTTTGGTCATTGACCAGAGCCAGCTGATACTAAGTAATCTGTGACAAGATAAGAAATAAGGGGAGAAACAATGACTAACAGATTGAAGTGAATTTTATACTGGGTACCGGCATTGAAATAGGCTGTTCAGCCCAATTATTCTGTGCTGGTGTGTATTCCTCAATCAAGCCTCCTTTCATCTTTCCTCATCTACATCTACCATTGCAACCCATCTATTCCTTCACCCTGAAAGGTTTGCCTGTTTTCACCTTAAATGCATCTATATTATTCACTCTAACCTCTGCATGTGGCAGTGAGTTCCAAATTTTCACTACTCTTTGGAAAAATAACTTTCTTCTAAATTTTCTTTTGGAGTTTTTGGTGATTATCTTATATTGATGACCTCTAGTCGTTCTCTTCCCAATAAGTGGAGGCATTCCTATGAAGCATGAAGGCAAAATGGACAAAATGTTCTTGTGACACCAAGAGGGGCATTACAAATACAGCAACAGCTTTGGTACCTAGATAGACAAATACATTGGATTGAGCATTGTTCCTAACATTAGTGTCAATATTTGACAATGTAAACATGAAATTTAAATTTACATTTTGTGTTTTGTGTGTGAAACTATGGCAGATTTGTTTTTAGTTTCATTTTTAAGAGTTATTTTTCTAAGCACAGTAATGAGGAGTCTAGAAGCTTGTTTATATCTTTGCATTTTTAATAAGGGTTCATAACCCTTTAAGGGAAGAGCAGATGGGAGTAATGGTTTACTGTTTTAAAAAAGGAGAGAAAGAAAAACTGAGCAGTTGCCTAGTAACAGGGATCCAGCGACACAGTAATAGAAAACTACAGATGGAAGGTGGCAATCATTGTATGTGCATGCCAGAGAGTGGATGCAAGCACGCTGAACTCGTAAGAAATTCTGCAAGACTACTAGAAACTGAGTTTAGGCAACTCGTGTATTTGGTCAGAAATTGAAGTAATGGGGAGTTTAATCTGTAGTTTGCGTTGGGTTTCAGTAGAGATGCCAACCAAAGAAAAAGCAGCTCACAAATGCATAGAAAATCTCTGGAAGGAAATCGGTTGCAGTTGTGCCAGCCTCAGCAAGAAGCCTTCACGTGAAGATAATGGCAAATTTTCACTTGGATTTGGTATTTTCAAGCACAGCTGTAGGATGAAAAGGAATAGCTCAAGTTGGAGCCCTTTTCCATTGTTTGTCTGTCTGTAATGAGATCTCTCAAACTTTTCTGTCTAGAGTAATATAGTTCATATCTTTCCTTGTTTAAGAAACATTTTATTATGTGTGTGAAAAGTACACTGACAGACTCTTGTGATTATGTTCAGTAACTCACCTCTACAGTGAGCAGAGAACAAAGTTAAATGTATATTAAAGCCAGGTTTCAATCTGGGAGCTGACCTATGCAGTATTAACATCAAGTGGGATGGGAACACCTATGAAATAGAAGCTAAACTGTCAAAATTAACAGGATTGAATTTGAAACATTGGTTAATAGATTACTGAACCATCTGTGTATGTGTATGTGGTAAACAAAAAAAAAACAGCCAGGATGTTAGGCTAAGCCTGAACAGGAAATCAGGTCATAAACAGGAAATCCATCAGGCTATTGGAAGAAGAGCTAATATCAGACATTAGATAGCTGAGCTACAAGTAACGATGATAGGGTTTAAGCTTTTTCACACTGAAGAGGAGACCGAAAAGGATTTGATTGAGAGATTCATAATCCTGAATGTGATGAAACATTGAATCCCAAGAAACTATACCCTGACCTTAAGAAGACACTATGTGTATAGGTTGGAAACAATCTGACAGATCTCTGGGAGGGGGAAGAGGAAGTGGAACAAAAAGATCCAATAGGTTTATTGTACAAAGGAAAGGTTCACTGTACAGATTAGATAGAAACTCTGCAGAATATAAAAAGGACTGTCCATGTATTACATATAATTTAATCATAATATAATCTATTATATTTAACTTATTTATGACATAATTATGTATTATATGTAATGGAAATCGGTCATGTAGGCTATATTTATGGATTTATTTAAAGCTAACTGCTGCAAGATTTAGAGCTATCATTTTCAACTTATTTTAGAATTTTGAGTAAAACTCTCATTTCTTTCTATTAGAATGATGCTTTCTAGATCAAAAAAGTGCCCATAATAACATCAATAAAACAAAAAATTACTAATTGGCGCATCTAAAGACTTGAAGTAAGCAGGTTAGTCAATACCTGTGAAGAAAAAAAAAATGCAATTACTTTCAATGTGTACCTGTCAAGTATTAACCCATCATTTCTCAGTCAAATACTGACTTTTGTTCCCTTGTACTACAACTGTAATCCTTGTTATTGTTTCTCAAGCTTCATTCAGATTGAAATGACGTGGTGCATTTGGCAGTCATCCCTCTACGCATTTAATTGCCAATCTCTGTAGTCAAGAACAAGAATCCCAACTGAGAAATTTCAGTAGTGATATCTCATTCATCCATTTGTCGCATCCCAAATGTACCATCACAGCACGTACGTGTTATTCTGATCTGCGTGAGAATTACATTAGCACAAGCGTAGCAAACGGTGGAGCTTTGGGGGATAGTTTAGAAGTGTGAAAATCGGTCATGATCCCTGAGGCTGGTTGCTATCTAGGGACTCCTCTGTAAAACTTTCTAGTGGACGCCAACAATGAGCTTAACTGTGCCGTCCTCAATCAAGGCTCAATAGCTTTCTGACACTCCTAAACTCATACTTGAATAACAATCACTTGAGTGAGTTATTGCCAAGACGGATTATTGCAGCAGCATAAGACATGACGGGATTGGATTGGGGGATGGGGAAGGCAGGGGGGAGGAAGAGGAGGGAAAGAAGAGAGAAGTACCGGTTTGTATATTTTCATACATCTGATATGAACTTGGCCAGAATCTAAAGTTTTTTGTCCCAATCCAAAACCATTGCCTTTCTCAATTGCACAAATTATCAACCTACAAAGCTCAACAGAACACTTGTGAAATTTTGCATCCTTTGATAAAAGGCTAACTCTGTTCAAGCTGCTTACTGGAGACTGCACACTCTGCAGTTGCACAATTCTCAAACTCATCCTCCCCAGCATCTTTCTAAAAACAATGTAATCGTGCTCAGACTAATGCAAGAGTGTGAAACATTACCTCATAAATATTGAATTGTTCGAGCAGATCCAAATCAGTTCCTTTTTTGTTCAAGTGTCTCTGTGAAATAGCTTCCATCCCTTGTTCTTCCAGACAGTCCACTACATCATAGAAGGAATCTTGATCAGGCAAACCTGCCAATGTCTGGGAATTCCAACAAAGCACATGAATACATTCATTTCATGAAGAGAGAGAAACTGTTAAACACGAAGATGAAAAACGGATCCATTAAATAAAAACTAAAGGAGTTTTGCAGTCAGCATTTCGCACTACCTAAACAAATCAGTTAGACCAAACTTAGACAATCAAATGTCCTTACTTTTGTGCTATTGTGCAAGAGCTGGAATGATACAGCGTACAAAAACTTTATAATAAAGTGCTTGGAAATGTAGCTTGATTATCAGTCAACATCCATTTTTTGCATTTGTGTGAGATTTCTTTGTTCATTAGTTTAACCAGGTCACTTAGCCCTTCAATCAGGATTCATTATTCTTCCATTAAAATATCAAAAAAGGAACGTTATATGAATAATTTTATTAAATGTTAATGAAAGAACATCACTTCAAGGTAAAAGTTCATTTCAAAGCCGACAAAACAGTCTAGTTGGATAAATTACGAGATGCTGCCAGTTTAAGGTTATCTACTTGCCATCATTCTGCCATCCAGCACCTTTCTCATCACTGCATCCCTCCACCCATTCTCCACAGTTTATTATAAAATGGAATGTATGAATGAGAACAATGTTGAAGTGGCTAAAATGATCAAAGTACACAGGGAATGGGAATTGTTGCATCCTTTCGCTTCACACCAAGCTCCCTTGCCCTTGTTCAAATAGGAGTGGCAACAAAGAGTTGAGGGTACAGATTTCTGTGAAATGAAAAATTATTGTTAACTTTGGAATTTGGTGCAGAAGCAAAGGAGACACTGCTTTTAAATTGTTTTTTTTTTCCAGAATCCAGCAGCTGATAAGTATTCAAATGCATTAGTTCATTGAGCAGATAATATTTTATCCATTTAAATAGGGGAGTTAGGGAAACAATTATTGTATCCAAGTTTAGCTCGATTAGGAATAAAATTACCAAACCCGAAACATTAACTCTGATTCTTTTTCTTCACAGATGCTGCCAGACTTGCTGAGCTTTTCCAGCAACTTCTGTTTTTGTTCCTGATTTACAGCATCCACAGTTCTTTCAGTTTTTATTTAGCTTGATTAGTTTCAGATTAAATAATATTCTAAAATTAGAGGATAATTAGATAATAATTTGGTGTTCTTTCCAAACTGGAAACTTAATGAGATAAATAATTCATGATATTAGGGTGGCACGGTGGCTCAGTGGTTAGCACTGCTGCCTCACAGCGCCAGGGACCTGGGTTCAATTCCACCCTCGGGCGACTGTATGTGTGGAGTTTGCACATTCTCCCCATGTCTGCGTGGGTTTCCTCCAGGTGCTCCGGTTTCCTCCCACAGTCCAAAGATGTGCATGCTAGGTGGATTGGCCATGCTAAATTGCCCGTAGCGTTCAGGGATGTGTAGATTAGGTGGGTTATAGTGGGGTGGGTCTGGGTGGGATGCTTTGATGTTCGGCGTGGACTTGTTAGGCCGAAGGGCCTGTTTCCACACTGTAGGGATTCTATATAAAAAAAAAATTTATAAATTATGCTGACAAGATAGATGACGTGTTGCAGCTGTAGCATGAGAGCGCTGGTGGATAGCACTGTATTTGCAGGTGGTGTCAAGAAACCCTGGCTTAGTTATTGATCTGGAAAGCGGCAAGTTTTTTCAAGAGACATTCACACTGCTTCAGACAGAACTTCAGATCTGGTTTGTGATCAGGTCAGCAAGGTGTGATTGCATGTGAAGCAGACATGGGGACCCAGAAAGGGGGAATGGAGAAGCCTCAGTTGCTACATTTACCCAACAAAATAGATATTCTTACAGCTTGTGCAGACAGGAGCAGGGAATGCAAAGCAGATGAGTAAATTGCATGGCACCAACGTGCAGGGAGCCTGTAAAATGGAAGTAGTTCTAATAGGGGACAGTATAGTTAAGAGAAAATATACATATATTACTTCCTGCAGCCACAAATGTAGGTTCCAAAAGCTATGTTGTCTGCCCAGTGCCAGGGTTAAGACATCTCTTCCAGGCTGGACAAGAACTTGGAACAGCTGAGGAAGAATCCGGTCATCATATTTCACATGGGTCTGATTAAGAAAGAAGCTCTGCTAAGGAAGCATAAGCAACTAACGGCTAAAGTTAAAAAGCAGAACGACAAAAGTAATAATTTCTGTATTATTACCTCAGCCACAAGCAAATGGGTGTAGTGTAAATAAGATCAGAGTTGAATTCACAGTTCAAAGATTGGTAATGGAGAAATGGATTTTCATTCATGAGGCACTGGCTTATCTACTGGGAAAACAGGAAGCTGTACCATTAGGACAGTATTCACCTGAACAATACTGAGACCAGGGAAGTATAGGTTTGTTAATGGGAGCTATACAGCAGGTTTCAAACAAAAAAGTTGGGGAATGGTTTAAATGATGGGAAATGTAGCAAGTTAAAGAAAAAGGACAAGATAATAGTTCAGCGTAGCATTACAGGTATATTTTATTGAGACCGTAACAGGAAAGGGTAGAAAGTGAGAACTCAAGAGTGCATCAATATGGTCAGAGTAGGTAAAATGGTTTTAAACTAACAGGAAGGTTTAGATGATCCAAAGATAAAGTGGAATCAGCAGAAAAGGTTTTGGTGTGGATAAGGTCAAAAGTTTAAAATATAGTATAAAAGTAAAATTAAAGTCACTTCATTTGATTGCACAGACCATCCACAGAAGGATGAACTCATAGCCCAAATAGAAAGAAACGGTATAGATTAATCACCAACAGAGATGTGATTATGAAGGTTGGGAAACATACCTTCCAGGGTACACAACATTTTGAAAAAACATGGGCCAAATGGAAAAGCAGGAAAGGTAGTCCTGCCCATAAGGATGTTAGTGAGAAAGGATCTTGGCTCAAAAAAAAAATCAGGAAGTAGCATCAGTGCAGGCAGAGATTAAATATACTAAGTGTCAGAAAAAGAACTACAAAATGTTTATAGTCCTGGAAACAGTAGTAAAGCTAAAATAAGTAACTTTTAATGTAGGTAATATAATAGTTGTGGATTACTTCAATCATCATACAGATTAGACCATTCAAATCAGCCAAGAAGGTTGGGAAGATGAAGTGTTGTACAACCCTTTGAGCTTCCTTAGGATTGTGTTATGGAACTAACAAGGAATAAAGCTGTTTTACATCTAGTATTGTGTAATAAGACAGGGTTGATTCATAATATCAGATAAAAGATTCACTAGGAAGTAGTGATCATAATACTTGATTTCAAACTATTTCCAAATTTAAATACATACTCCAGTAATAAACAGGAATCTCAATTTCACTAAAGGTTAGCACTGGATAAATAAGCTGAAAGGTAACGTGGTAAATAAACAATGCGAACATTTCAAGAGACAATTCAAAACCTTCAATAGCTCAAACAAAACTCAAATTCACTTGTAGCACACAAAGTGAAAGGACAGCATTAGTTTATAAAAAGAGACAATGTTGCAAAGAATACTAAGTCTCGAGATTGGGAATGTTTGAGAAAGTGGTAAAGTTCACCAAAAGTCAGCAAAAAGGGAAACAGTAGAAGAATAAACTAGCCAGGAATACATGTATAAAAAATTCAAGCTCTGACAAAACGTGAGAGAGTAGCTCAAACAAATATTGTTTTAGAAGCAGAGACTAAAGAAGTTATCATGGAGGAGAAAGAAATGGCAGGGAAGTTGAACAATATTATGTATCTGTATTCAGAGTAGAAGAGAAGTCATATTCTGGAAATTACTTATCAACTAGGGGCTACATACAATGTGAAAATGAAGGTAATTAGTATCAGCAAAGAGTCAAAAAGCCACTGGAGGTACTCAAAAAGCTAAAAACTTTGACAAACCCCTAACATGTGATTGGGATGAGCTGGTTATGATTTTCCAAAATTGCCTCAATTTTGTAACAATTCTAGCAGGATCAGAAATTACCAAATATCATTGTTATTCAAAGAAGAACAGAGAGAGAAAAAAAAACTGAACTAGTGACCAGTTAGCCTGACATCAGCCATCTGCAAAGTGCAGGATTCTATTATGAAGGCAGTCTTATCCAATGCAGTTAGGAAAGCATCACGTGATTAGAACAAGTCAACATATTTTTACAAAAGGGAAATCATGTTGGATAAATTTACTAGATTTTAAAGGTTTGATTAATAAAGGAAATGTAGTAAATATTTTAATCAACCTGTTCAGATGTGGTATCACCTCAATCTGGAGCAGGTGAAACTTGAACTCAGCCCTTCAGGCCCAGAGGTAGAGACACTACCACTGCACAACGAAAGCCTTTCCAGTAGATACATCATACCAGGACTTCCAAAAAGGCATTGAATAACATGGCATACAAAGGTTCCGACAGAAGACAAGGGATCATGGAGCTGGGAGGGGTATATTAGCATGGATGGAGGATTGGTCAATAGACCGGAAATGGATAGTAGGGATGAATGAGGCACTTTCAAGTTATTGAAGATTATTGTGGCTATCGAAGGTTACCGATTTATAATTAGCAATAATAAACATTTTGGAATTCTCTGTCGAGAGGGCTGCAGTCATTCCATATGTACAAGACAAAGTTCAATAAACTATTATCAATATCATACTAATGATACCTAGTAGTAGGGAATAGCAGGGAAAAAAGAGGATTGAGACAGATTATGGATTGAGATCTAGAATGGCAGAGTAGGCTCAAGGGACGAATGGCCTATTGCTGCGCCTGAGTTTCAATAAGACAGAGCACGGTGTATTAGTTCGCAAATGATACAAAGGTGGGAAGAATGTAAGCTGTGAGGAGGACACAAAGAGGCTGCAGAGAGATACAGGCAAATTGAGTGAGTGGACAATGAAATGGCATATACAGTATCAATGTGGAGACCTGCAAGGTTATCCACTTTGAGCATAAGAGTGGAAAAGCATAATACTTTCCCGAAGATGTGAAACTTGTAAATGTCCGGTGGAATCCGGGTTGACGCAAAAAGTTAGCTCAGACACCATAAACAAATAGAATGGCCAAATAGTATCCTGGCTTTTATTGCAAGGCAAAAGTGAAGGTATTTGCTATATTTGTATAGGGGTTTGGCGGGCCGCTGAAATACGGTGTGTACTTTAGATCTCCGGTGTTTAAGGAAAGATATGCTTGCATTAAAGGTAGCACTGCAAAAACTCACCAGATTGGTTCCTAGGATGAAAGCGTTGTTTTAAGGTGAGAGGCTGAGTAAATTCGAACAACGTTTCCTCTACAAGAATGACATGTGATCTCATTGACGATCCAAGATTACCAATGAGCTTAACAAAGCAAATACTGAAATGTTGGTTCCCATTGAAGAATCTAGGACAAGGATGCACACTAAGTGGCTGGTCTGACGTGAGGAGAAATGCCTTTACTCAAAAGGTCATAACTCTTTGAAATTTTCTGCTTAAGGGATGCAAATGCACCCGAATGTATCTGAGGGTTAGATACAGTTGTCGTCTCAGAGAATCAAGGAATATAGGAAGAAAAAGCCAAAGATCAGATTGAATAGTGGAGTAGGGTCAAATGGGCTGCGTTCACATACATGCTCCCAACCACATAGCTTTAGCTTCAATAAACTTCTACAAAACTTACTTTTAAACCTGCAGGGAAAGGTGCGTAAATCTGAAAACAAACTCCAAAGCTACAACATATATTTAACCAATTTAATTTAAGTAGTTGGTTGGACGCAGGGAAAAGTCAGGTTTATTCCTGAATGATTCTTATAATTTTAGTAGACAGGCAAGTATCATCTATATCATAGAATAATAAAATGATAAAATCAGCACTGCAATATGCACAGAACAAGAACAGCATAATGGTACAGGGTATTTATGAGGTTATGCCAGTTGCACTTACTAGAAGCATTATAGAAATACCCTTTGGAATATAATCAAGTAGCCACAGATAATATTTAATATTCAAGCCAATGGATAATTAAAGTTTAAAGCACAAATGTACCAGCTGCCAGGCTTGATATCAGCAAACTGCAAAATCCAACAGAAATGATTCAATTGCTTAAGCTGCTTAATACTTTAATATATTAACCTCACCCATGACAATTTTATTTGCAAGTGGTATGATATTACATAGTTTTGTCCTTCATTGACGTGGAGAAGATGTTACAAGTTATGAGCTTCTCAATTTCAACCTTGCTGAAAAAAGACAAATTTGTCAAAGCTTTTTTAAATTGCACTCATCAGGATATTTTGCAACAATACCAATGGAAAGGAGATCAGCTTATATGGGAAATAACTGATTAGCTGGCAAACAGACAGAAAGTAAACATATACACATCGAGACTCTTTAAACTTCACTAAATAGGCATTCGGTCTGATTCCTCAGAGTAATGCCTTGACTACTTAGTCAACTTGTCTGGTTTAAATTTAAACAAAAATGACAGTTAACTGTCAGTCATCATGTAACTGGAACAATCTCCATGGCAAAGCCTCTATGAGTTAGAGGCCTCTTGCCAATCAAATAGCACACACTGTCTATACAGGTCAAAATCCCCTTTGCATTGGTGATGAATGCAAGACAAAAGCATTGATAAAAGTCATTTTCCACATTACACGAAGTTCTCTACTACCAAACTATTACAGACTCTCAGTTCCTTCATTCCTATTACTATTTCGGGAGTTTTGTTCATTTTTAATTTTTCATTCAACCATTGGGATATGGGTGTTACAGCATTTATTGTCCAATTCACTCTCACTGAACAGTACATCACATTCTAGCTGCCCATAGGCAAACAAGCTATTCCCAAGTCTCTTTCGAAGCTCTTAGAGAATCATCTCCACTCTAGGTAATGTTCGTAGTAAATTTCTTTAACCACTGTCATTATCTCTGCCTCTCACTCAGTACCTTCCAATTCTCCTCCATCCACCTCAACAAGCCCAAGATTCGAAAAGAATTGAGGGGCATCTTAGGCACCCATTTACATCACACTACTGGGTGGTGCCAAGGTCAATCATCTCTGATCCTGTTTAAAAGGGAATACCTTTGAATTTTAAAATTATATTTTTGGATAATAGCTGTAACTTTATCAACATTCAGTTAAAAAATTAAGAGAGAATGGAGAGGAGCATTAAGTGGGTTTCCTAATGTTATAACCCAATCACCTTTATTGCTAGATAGAAGAAAATATCTTTCAATTTTATTGAAAATAGGATCAAATCACTAATTGCTCCGATTACCCTTTCAGAATTGGTGCACATTCACCCGGCTGAGGTGCACAGACGTAAATCGTTGAGGTTCTAAGGGTTTTAGAATAAACTGCCAAGATGATGATGAAAACCAAGAATGAGAATTTCCAAATTCTGTCAAACGTAATTACAACAGGACCTCCATTAACCCAAATGCAGGGCTCCTTCGAAACTCAGCACAATTAAGCAGACAGCGAAGAAGTACAGGAATGCATCTCGTTAGAAATTATCATCGACTGTCAGCTTGTCACTTGGTAGCAGACCATTCATGACATCACTGGACAACCGGCTCACAAAATTCAAATAAATACTGCACAAACCTTATTTATTAAAGTCATTGCATAAACGAGAAGCTCTGTGTCAATCCCATCTTTTTCGTCCAGTATTTCCATAATGTTTGACCATGCTCGTGCACCTGAACAGAAAGATTACAAACAACATGTTAACCCTATATCTGCTTCCAGAATGCCACCTAAGCTGGAGACCCTGCTCCATGAATTTGTACAAACCAGATGCAAAGACTTTTCTTGATAGCTTATTTACAGGAGGTCTGTATTACAAACATCTGCCTCTCAACTACCGATGACAGTGACCCTGCAGCCTTTATACTCTTGATTGACAGGCAAACTTATATTAAGCCAAATTAACAGACAATTACACTTATACGTGAAACTAATAACAAAAATCAAATGCTCAAAGCAAAATTAGATTTAAAATGCCATTGTTTGACAGAACATATACGGTCAGAGTCTTGGAGTCGTACAGCACAGAAACAGACCCTTCTAACAAATTAGTCCATGCCAATCAAGTTTCCCAAATTGAACTAGGCCCTTTTGACTGTGTTTGGCCCTTATCCCTCTAAAATGTTCCTATTCTTGCACCTCTCCAAATTCCTTTTAATTGTTGTAACTGTACCTGCATCAACCATTTCCTCTGGCAGTTCATTCCACATATGAACCACCCTCTGCATGAAAACATTGCCCCTTAGGTCCCTTTTAAATGTTTCTCCTCTCACCATAAAAATGTGTCCCCTAGTTTTGAACTGCCCCACCCGAGTGAAAGACCTTTCCTATTCACCTTACCTATGCCCCTCATGGATTTTAATAAACCTCCATAAGGTCACCCCACAACCTCCTCCACTCTAGTGAAAAAAGTTCCAGCCTATCCTATACCTTTAACACTCTATTCCCGGCAACATCCTGGTAAATCTTCCTGAACCCTCTCCAATTTAATAATATCCTACCTATGGCAGGGTGAGCAGATCTGTCCAGAACATTTGTGGAAAGTTGGGCAAAAACTAGGGGGCCCCTGTTGAGATATTTGTATCATCTACAGCCATGGGTGAGATGCCGGAGGATTGGAGGGTGAGTAATATTGTGTCTTTATTTAAGGAAGGCTGTAAAGAAAAGCCTGGGGAATATAGACCCGAGAGAGTCTGACGTCAGTGGTGGCTAAGTTGTTAGCGGGGATTCTGAGAGATAGGATTGACATGCATTTGGAGAGGCAAGGGCTGATTAGGGATAGTCAGCATGGTTTAGTACGTGGGAAATTGGGTCTTAAACTTGAGCAAGTTTTTTTGAGAATGTAACCAAAAAGATTGATGAGGGCAGAGCGGTAGACGTTGCCTACACGGACTTTAGTATAGCCTTTGACAAGGCTCTGCATGGTAGACTAATTAGTAAAGTTAGATGACGTGGGATTCAGGGAGAGCTTGCCAACTGAATATAAAATTGGCTTGACGGTAGTAGGCAGAGGGTGGTGGTGGTGGAGGGTTGTTTTTCGGACTGGAGGCCTGTGACCAGCGGTGTTCTGCTGGTATCAGCGCTGGGTCCACTTTTGTTTGTCATTTATATAAATGATTTGGATGAGAATTTAGGAGGCATGGTTAATAAGTTTACGGATGACACTCAAAATTGGTGGCATGGTCAACAGCGAAGAAGGTAATTTAAGATTACTAAGCGAGTGGCAGATGGAATTTAATTTGGATAAATGTGAGGTAATGCATTTTGGTAAACAAACAGGGCAGGAGTTGTACAGTTAATGGAAGGGCCCTGGGTAGAGTTGCGAACAGAAAGATCTAAGAGTTCAGATACATAGTTCTTTGGAATTTGCTTTTATAGGTAGATAGGGTGGTTAAGAAGGTGTTTAGCATGCTTGCCTTCATTGCCAGGGCCATTGAGCATAGATGTTGGGATGTCATGTTGAGGTTGTACAAGATGTTGACAGACCACCTTTGGTGTCTCTGCAAGGACTCCTGCGTACAGATGCAATCACAGACAGGAGGCTGACAGTTGTATCTACTGAACCCCTCCATTACACAGGCCTGTTACTGGCTACTTAGCCCAGGCTCTGGAGCAGGTCCACAAGAAGGTCCTCCAATCCATTCAACCCTTCCACACTGGGTAGACCAAAGATCTGGAACATGGGCCAGATGAGCAAAGAAATCTCGAGCAGCAGCCCCCTTAAAAAGTGAAACAAGGGCTATGCCTCTCATGGCCTGTGGTAAACACAAGTAACCTGAACCTCCCATTGCAAAGGACTGCAGCATGCAACACGCTCCACGCAACATCCCCTTTAGTAAGAGGGAGGCCTTCCACCAGACAGCCCCGGTAGCTCCAGGCAGCAAGATGGAATGTCATGTCATGACCGGACGGTTGGAGACTTGCAGAAACACAATATCTTCAGCCTCAGTGGCCTAGTGCCAGTGCGTAGGTCTAAGGTTACAGACCATACGTCTCATGTTTCACTGGGGTAGTGCAGTGGAAATCAGGCCCCACTAATCCTGGGGTCATCACAATAGTTAAAAATGTTTTGAGTGCACATAAAACTCCAAAATTTACCTGTCTTTTTGAACGCAGATTGACAGAAAGCATAGACCAAGTTTCCGCACTTAACCATCACTACAATTTATTACAAATAAATAGATTCTAGCTACAAGTAAACAATATGAACCACTGACATACAGCACTCTCACTAAAACTGTAACTGCATTATAAACACCACCCTACAGATACAGGCCGACCCAAAGAAAAATGGGTGTCATGGGTAGAAGGAAAGGCTGGAAGGCAGTTCAATGTTCCACGTTGAGAGGATTTACTAAGGTGACCCTTTTCCTGGTCAAAACTTGTGCCTCAGTTTTCTTCCTCCAGGTATTTTCATTTGTTTTGTAGGAGATTCAGTGACTGATTCACATTTGTAAAGTCTCTGACCTATTGGTTAAGAGCTACAATGTACAGCAACCAATTTTGGGGGAGAGGGGGTGGAAATAAATTGGCTTTCTTCACTCGGGAGGTGGTCTTTGTTTAATTGCAGTGAAAAAGGACACCTTCCTTCCTTCCTTTTTGGAAGTCTGATAGCTTCTAACCAATCGTTCACACCCACAAGCTGTTCAGCTACTGGAGCCAACCACATGGTTGTTGGCGGGCAGAAGGTCTTTGTCAGACAGTTGATCACCATTCCATAGGCCAATCAGCTGCTTGTTGCTGGCCTAATTTCCATTCATACCGACCCTTTAGCTCCACCTTGTCTGTGACTAAACATCCCTCACTGTTTTCATGCATTTGTTCAAGCAGACGCTTAAAAGCAAGTTACCAACACTCATTGTAAAAAAGTGCAACATCTCTTGTACAAACCTTGGTTTTTGAAAACATTTCTTTAATAATTTTGGTCCACAATCAAAAATACAATAATAAAAAGATGTGGAATTTACGTACTTTATAATTGGAAATAGTCCTGAAAGAGTAGGGTTTATCTATATTCTTTACTAGGAGAAGTACAATCATTCTTTTTATTTCAACTTCTTTTTCCTAGTTCGTTACTATAGGAAACTGCCTTGGAAACAATTTAATCAAGGGTTTCTCATTGCCTTGTAGTTTGCTCACCATTTCCCTCAGTTTGCGTTTCAGTGTATTGTTAGCTACTGGCCCTCATGTGCTCATACAAGGCCACAGTCAGGTCTGGTTTTACTCTTGAAGCACTTGCATTCAATTACTTCACTTTCTTTCCTATTTCCTCCAGATCTCTCATCCTCAACTTCAACACCAAGTGAGCAGCTGATTCCAAGGGCACTCTGGAACTAATTGTTTAGAAGTGAGGACAAGGCAGGATCAGGGCAGTTGGGTTTCCTGTTTTCCCTTGCCTGACAATAGAAGCATCTATCCTCTGTGTGATGGCAGGCTAAGATAAAATAACCACAATCAAGCAGTGAACTGACCGCATTGGGAACACATGTTGTTTAACTTGCCTTGTGATTAATATCACAAGGGCTACTTTTTACAGAATATCACAAAATGCTGTGGTATAGAAACATTATAGAGCCATTATTTCTGGGGATTTCGGCCTTGGAACTCAAGCACTGCCTCTACCAGTGTCCATTTCCCAAACAATCAGTATCCTCTTCTCACATAATAGAGATTGTCGCTCCCCTTGAACTTGGTATTTTGAGGTTCTGTCGTGATGAGCGCAAGATGAAAAGCTTTGAAAGCATGTCTTTTACATAGCCCTCAGCAGAACCCAACTTTTATTTTTCTTATCAAGTGTCGAGGGGAAACAAGAGGGTTAAAGGGAATGAGTGAGAGAAAATTAGACAGGAAAGTAAAACGCCATGTATTTATGTACTTTGTTTAGAACCATCGGATGTGAACCACAGCGCTTCACAGTCAATGTAATACTTTTTTACAGGTTAAGTCACAGTTGCAATGTAGGAATTGTAGCAACAAATTTGCACATGGCAACCTTCTAAAAACAGCAATTTGATAATGATCAATGTTGACTAAGGAATGCATATTGGCTAGGACACCAAGGATAACACCCCTGCTTCTCACGAGAGATTCTGTGTCTCTATATTCATGTCTAGCTGTTGACATATCTGACAGTGCAGCACTCACTCAGAACGAGCTGATAGAATTTCCTTAACCCTCTGTGCGGAGAGACAAGAGAAAGTTAAGGGAAGATACAAGAGACATTCAGACTTTGGAAGATTTTGATTAAGTGAATAGGAAGAAACAATTTCCAGGGTGCTAAGGAAGGGTCACTGGACCCTAAACGTTAACTGATTTTTTTCTTCACAGATGCTGCCAGCCCTGCTGAGCTTTTCCAGCAACTTCTGTTTCCGTTCCTGATTTACAGCATCCCGCAGTTCTTTCAGTTTTTACCCAGGGCAGGAGGGTTGGTAATCATGTCATAACTTTGATTTTTGACATAATTTTGTCAAAGGAACCCAAAGGGAGGAAAACCATTTTTCTTGTTCAGTGAGTTCTAAGCTTCTTGAATATACTGCTGGAGATGGATGAATACTTCAAAAGGGCAATTAAGGAAGAAGTAGAGAGGAGTTTAAATAGATGTTTCTATGAGCTGGTACAAACAGTGGGCCAAATGTCTTCCTTCGGAGCTACGTTCGTCTAAGATCCTCAGTTT